ACACAAGCAGGGGGAGTGGGAGAGGGAGAAGCAGGCTTCCCGCTGAGCAGGGAGCCCGATGTGGGGCTTGATCCCAGGACCCCGGGACCATGACCAGAGCCGAAGGCAGACGCTTAATGACTGAGCCCCCCAGGTGCCCCTATGTTTTGTTTTTTTTTTTAAAAGCAATCTCTACCCCCAAGGTGGGGCTCGAACGCATGACCCTGAGATCAGGAGTCACGTGTTCTTCCAACTGAGCCAGCCAGGTGTGCTGGTATATAAAACACTTTAGGGGTGCCTGGGTGGCTCAGTCAGTTAAGCGCCCGACTCTTGGTTTCGGCCTGGGTCATGATCATGGGGATCCTAGGACTGAGCCCTGCGCTGAGCCTCACGTTGGGCTTCGCGCTCAGTGCAGAGTCTGCTTGGCCCCCTCTGTCTGCTCCTCCCCAAATCGTGCTCTCATGCTCTCTCTCAAATACATACATACATACATATCTTTGGGAGAAAATAATAAAAAAAAATACTTTAAAAATGTTCGTGTGCACAATAAAAATAAGAATCAATGGCTCACAACTGCAGATTTTTATAAAATGTAAGATTTGGACAGTTTCCTACAGATGAGAAAAAAGACTGAAAGTGTGGAATTAGCCTCAAGCAAGCTCAAGAATGTATGCCATTTCCTAAACACTAATACTGCGTGCTACACTTTCCCTGAGTCCTACTCACCCTAATCTCACCCCTGCGGTCTTCCCACCCTTTAATAAGCAATTCAACTTCTGGGCTTCTCTCATTAAAAAATAAAAAAGACTTTATACCTAGAAATATACACATAATTGTTGATTACATTGGAAGGTTAAATGAATCATATTATCTATTTAACCTCAAAAATTAATTGCAAGAGTAACAGCTTGAAAAAAAGTATATATTTGTTTTTTAAGGAGACAGTTTACTGAATACACCTCAAGGGCAGACAGGACAGCAGGAGAGGCTGTATGCTGGAAATAGTTTTTTTTTTATTTCTGTGCTAAACTAACAGAACGTATACTATATAAATTACTAGAATAGACTATGAAAATTCACTAAAATTACAGTAATTGTTTTAAGGATGATTTTTTTTTCTCTTTTCACTGTTCCTAAGTATATATGAGGTTAATTTAAAAAAAAACTTACAAATGCCCAAAAGATATACCAATTCCACCTCTGAACAATCTTATTATTTCTCTGATGACTAATGCTGTTGAGCATCTTTCTATGTGTTTATTGGCCACTTATATATCTTCTTTATGGTTTTTCATTTTTTTTAAAGATTTTATTTATTTATTTATTTGAGAGAGCGAGAATGAGAGAGAGAGAGAGAGATTACATAAGAGGGGGGAGGGTTAGAGGGAGAAGCAGACTCTCCGCTGAGCAGGGAGCCCGATGTGGGACTCGATCCCGGGACTCCAGGATCATGACCTGAGCTGAAGGCAGTCGCTTAACCGACTGAGCCACCCAGGCACCCCTGGTTTTTCATTTTCTTGAAGAGCAGAAACTTTTAAGTTTAATTTCATAAAAATGAGGTCCAGTTTTTTTGTTTATTCTTTTTAATTGTTAGTGGGGTTTTTTGTTTGTTTGTTTTTTGGGGTTCTTTTTTTGGCTAGTACAGTTTTAAAAGCAAAAGACTGGAAGCAATCCAATGCATTAGTAGAGAGTTAAGAAGACATGAAGAGAAAACCACAAGACGCAGAATCGTGTGTAAAGATGAGAAAAGTAAGAATTAACTTTGTATTTGTGTGTAAATATATAAAGAACCAAGAAGAGTATCTGCTTGTGGTGGGAGAGGCAGAGGCAGAACGGGACAGTTGGGGATTTCACTGTGTCCCTCATCCCACTTGCTGGGCTCTAAACCATGTGGATGTATTACCAAACAGAAAGTATATGAAAAATTAGTTTGGAAATATCATCTATAACATTTTCAGGATTAACAACTAGTAGTGACAACATACCTGAATAGTTTGTAAAGGATTTTAGGTCCTCTAGACTTATGGGAACTTGTGCACCAGAAATTAATACCTGAAAAAGAAGTTCGATTCATAAATTTGAGGTAGATTTTAAGACAGCTTTTTCGTGTCACGTGACAGCTGTGACCCCAAGCACCAGAGAGAAGTGTACCTGGATCTCCTGCTGATCAAACATTCGCAGCCACTCCAGGTTCACCACGTTGGCCAGGCCCTGTCTGAAGGCCAGACAGTGCTGACGGATTTGCCTGTTCAGCCTGTAGTCGGCGACAAGGTGGATATACGCAATCCTGTTGGCACTGGTGACAGGGATGTCTTTCCCACCAAATTTTAGTTCGACCACCTGTAAATATTAAAATAAGGGTCTGGAAATTCTAAGTATGACTAGAGTAAAACGAAAGCAAGAAACACTGACTTCAAAGAAACTTGACAGCACTGCTTTGTACATGAGAATCTAAGTAAAAAGCCGTGTAGCTGGTATGCACACCAGTCTCTGTTGGCATAGGATGCACCTCTGATGGCATTCTCCAAAGCCGGGCATCTTATTCTGTCTTTAAGATTGTTAGCCACTGATGCCTTCTCCAAAGCACTAAGGAGTGATGCAGCAATGTAATCATGGCAACTTTGTCTTAAAAAATTAGGAATCTGGGGCGCCTGGGTGGCTCAGTTGTTTGGGCATCTGAGTCTTGATTTTGGATCAGGTCATGATCTCAGGGTCGTGAGATCGAGCCCCGCATCGGACTCTGTGCTTAGTGGGGAGCCTGCTTGAGATTCTCTCTCCCTCTGCCCACCCCCCCAACTCTCACACAGGTGCACACTTTCTCTAAAATAAATAATTAAAAGTTAAAATAAATTATGAATCACAAGGAGCAAAGATATGAACCAAAAATGAACACATGTCCAAAGGGATTCATTCTGGAGAAAATACAGCCTAAGGCATGAAGGTCTCCATCATGTTGTTACCACTATGAAATACTTTATTCTTTCATTATTTTTAAAGATTTTATGTTTAAGCGATCTCTACACCCACCGTGGGGCTTGAACCTACGTCCCCGAGATCCGGAGTCACACGGTCCACGGACTGAGCTGGGCGGGCGCCCCTGAAGTACTTTAAATAGGACTCAGAGGACAGCGGTCCATTAGAGATGACTGACCGTCATTCAGATGACTGAATCTCAGAGGACAACCTTCTGTCCTTAGGTAACCATGCTCGCACAGCCTGTCCGGTCTAGCACAGAGCTGGCAAGTGGTGCCGGCAGCGCCAAAGCATCACGGGAAGCCCTCGGCGGGAGCTGGGGCCACACGCTGGCTCTCCCCGCTCACTGGAACGCCGACGCCCGCAACTCACCTCGCCCCGTGGACTGCTTTCGTCATTAATAAGATGGTGATACTTCTGCTTTGTCTACCTTAGAATTGTGGTTCTGTAAACTCATATAAACCAAAGGTGATTGACAAAACAGCACAGGCAATTATAAACATATCAGCCTCATTTACAAGAATGCACTTTTTAAAATCTGTTTACTCTTCTCAGATGCATTTGGATGAGGCCGTCTGTGCTGAGGATAAAGAACCAGAAAACAAATCCACAATAAGTGAACAAGCCATTCCAGAATGACCAGTGGGTGGCAAACCTCTGGGGGTGACTGCAGGCTATGGAAACCGTGAAAACGTCCCCCTCGTGGTTCTGTCATAATGAAGACAACACCTCCCCCTCTGGACAATGGCATTTCAGCCAGCTTTTTTTTTTTACCACTTTAGAGAAAGGCCATTTTACAATCTTGCTGAAGAGCTATACGGAAATCATCGTACACACAGTGGTTACACGGCCATCTCATGCTACAGACGTTACAAAGCTTTATTAGATCTGTTTCTTTCCACAGTGCACATTCTAGATGACGCCTCCCTTCTAATTCTCGCGCTCCATGCTGGAACCAGAGGCCTAGGAAAGGCTCTGCACCCACATCTCCTTGCTTGTCTCTGCTCCGGGGAGAGGCCGCAATGCCTCCTGTGCTCGCTGTCCGCTGACGGACCATCTGTCACCTGGGCCTCACGTGCTCGCGGCTCTGTTTTAATGTACAAACTACCACTCCTCACCTTAAGTGGATTAACAACAGGTAATAAATGAGCATGTACTGAGTGATTCGAAGACAAAGGACCCGGGAAACGATCAGGTAAAGGACTTCCAAAGCCCCAGTTACCCTGCCTGATCAGATGGCGATGCCGTTTCCAGTGACTGCACAGGGACTGCACCTCGGTCATCTAAACTCCTCTCTAGGCTACATCAAAACAACTATCTGTGTCTAAAATCACATTAAATCTGTCCCTATTGGGGCATACTGACATCTCTAAGTTTTGGGGGCATATTGACATCTCTAAGTATGGAACTAGAGCAGTTTTTTTTTTTT